CGAGGGAGAAAGAAAATGCAACCTCTAGGATCTTCTTCAGAGTCTACACAGGCTGCCCCCGAGGCAGGCGCAGCCGCTGTCGAGGAAACAGCTTCTGTTTATCGGAGAGGAGTCGAGTCCCCTGTACACAGTGTAATAAGTATTGTATGTGTACTGATCACGGCCCGATCCCCAACCTTCCCCACGAGCAGAGAGAGGAAGGGGGCGAGAGTGAGAGCACAAGCAGTACGAGTAGTACGAGTTGCTACTTCTTCAAAATGTTCATCCCCGTTGATCACCATGCGGTCTTAGTCTTGTACACCAGCATGTAACTCGGCCTCCAACAAACAAACCAGACCTGTTATCAAAAAGACAGACTGCCGACGACTTTTCCCGGTCAGAGTTTGCAGCCCTGCCATTTAGAGGGCGTGTGGTGGTTCTTAGGAGAAGGGGGAAGGAGGAAACGAGGCAGAGACGGAAGAGGGAGAAGAAGGGGGGGGGGGGCAAGGGGAATTCCCTATTACACTAATTCTCGTGCCTAGTTTGGTGTAGTCCCTCGGCAAATCGAAGGCACACAGTCCGGTCAGGCGCGTCCATGCACGCCGGCTCCGCCACCGCCGCCCCCCTGCCGCCCGGTGCCTCGGCCCCGCGAGCCCCGCGACCGCCGCCGCCGCGCCGTCGCCGCTCCTGCCGCGCCCGGCCACTCCGCGCGTCCACGCCACGCAACGCCGCGCCGCGGCCGCGCTGCTCGTACCGGCGCGGCCCTCGCCTCGCCTCGCGGCTGCTCGCGGCAGTCGGCTCGTCAACACAACGCAGTGCGGGCCGGGCCGCGTGGAGCCGGTCGCACGGCACCTCGCCGACAAGGACACGGGCGGGCCACGACGAGCTCCGCGGCAATCATAACAGCGCAGCATCAGGCGCCCAGCTCCTGCCAATTCGCGGGCCGCCGAACAGGTACGTGTGGTGGGGCCGGTCCTTGGGTGGCGAGGCGGAGAGAGGAGGGACTTCCCCGTGCGTCATACGCCGGTGTGTGTCGCAGGAGGAGATGGCTGCGCTGCTGCTGGAGCGGCTGCTGGAGAAGCTGCTGGAGGTGCCCCGCCGGAGCCCCCAGCGCTGCGTGGCGTGCGGCGTGCTCAAGCCCAGCGCCGGCACCCTGGTCAAGCACCTCGTCCGCAAGCACTTCCGAGGTGAGCCCTTCCCCTGCGTCGTGGACGGCTGCAGCCAGACGATCGTCTCGGTCCGCCAGCTGCTCGAGCACCTCGGCTCGCACCTCGGCAAGCAGCTGTACGGCTGCGCGAGCTGCTCGCGGTCCTTCGCCACCGCGTCCGGCCTGCAGCGGCACGAGCAGCG